GAAAGCTGAATTCGAAACCTTAAAGGGTGAATATCTTTTCGTGATTCCTGAGTTAATAGTTTGCCCGCCAAAATTTTCACGGGGCTGTAGGTGACACTCAAGAGCGCGGGAACGCTGAATTTGAATAGGCAAGGTCGCGCGTGGACAGGAAGTCATTACCCTAAAATTTCAGCTTCCTGGACCCCGTAGTTCCCGAGATAATAATTTACCCGTAAAAACTTTCAATAGCCCATAGGTGGTACCCGAGAGCGCGGGAAGGCTGAATTTGAATGGGCAAGGTTGAGCTTGGCAGGGGGTTATTACCGTAAAATTTCAGCCTCCTAGACTCCGTGGTTCCCGTGATATTAATTTGCCCGTAAAAAACTTTCACGGGCCGCACGTGTTACCCGCGGGTACGGGAAGGCTGAATTTGAATGAGCAAGGTTGAACGTGGGCAGTGAGTCATTATCCTAAAATTTCAGCCTTCTAGACTTCGTGGTTCCCGAGATATTAATTATTTGTAAAAAACTTTTACGGGGCCATACGTGTTACCCGCGGGTACGGGGAAAGTGAATTTAAATTTGCGGGGTCACACGTAGGTAGGGAGCGGTCCCCTAAATTTTCAGCTTCTTAGCTTTTGTGGTTCCCGAGTTGAAAGTTGCGGACAAATTGCTGCGGACATACACACACACAAGCACACACAGACAACCCCGTGACAATATGCGTTTTGTACTGCTGTTACACAGCACAAAACGCATAAAAATTGCCAGATGCGTAACTGGAGAACCGCAATGTGTTCAGAATGTTAGAGTATTGCGCAAGAACACTTCTTATGCCCGTTCAGAATGAACGTAAAGCTAAAATCATATTGAATATGTGGACTTGAAAGTTAGGTTGAAAAACTCATTGCTTGGGGAAGCTCAAGACGCTGAAATTTCAGCTCCTTGGCTTAATTAATCGAGAATATTTGAGATTCCAGAATCAACAGCGTGAATGCTTTGTTTTCATGTGCATAATTTACTTCTTTTCTCAGCTTTGAACTTACAGTCCTTATAGGTTGAAGAGTAGTAAGCTCCAAAACAACTTTGGTCCTAGGCTCTGCTCATTCCCCTCATTTCCCTTCCACCCGCATCTTTTCAATCCCCTTTCCTCTCCCTTTCCCCAACGCCACTTCCCGTCGCCAGTTTTATGGATAAGGGATGAAACACAAACTGCATACTGGCCTAATCTTACATTACGTGTCGGATGTTCATCCTGCTGGCAGTAA